CGGAATGGCGGGTGCTAACGACTGCAGATGCAGCCTGGACCAACGGCTTAACGTGCCTTCCAAAGCACGGAGGAACTCGAGATAGAAGATTTTTGGTCACCCATCCAATGACCGCCCACTGCGAAAGTTGCTTAACTTCAACGATCGCAGCCGAACGCGCTAACCACCTGCGCCATCGAGCTCCCCAATATACACTAACATTTAACTATATGGATAGCTGCTGCTAGAAGAAAATCATAATAAAGAGTCCCACCTTCTCTATGAAGGCAGCCCACTGAGTAAAGCGCGTAACCCTACGCTTATTTGAAATACATTTATTTAGTAAAATTGCCATAATCTTGTGAACTCGGATGCAAACCATAATATTATCATCCAAGGATGGAAAACCTGGGTGCCCTGTACCTGGCAGATTCTTATTGTTGCTCCGAAATTTCAGTTGGCATAATATTCTTGAAACAAATATTTATAGTGCATATATTTTTAGCTATTGTATAGCTTTTATCGCGGGCTTTGAGCGCGGCGACCGAATCAAAAAATTCTGTAACGAAAAACCTGCAGCACCTGTTCTTATTTTTATTTGTCTCCCTTTTATTTAGACTTTATAATTATAATTAAACTAGCAAACCAGTGAACCAAATGTTCACCAAAACCTGATTTAAAAAAAAAATGTATTTACTTAATTGAGAACTTCGGAGATTTTGTGTGGTTTCGTTTGAAATTCGTGATTTCTCGAAAACCGGAAGTGCTACGTTACTCAAATCCGGTTTGTAGTCTTACCAGACTATTCTTAACTTATAACTTAAATATTCTCTTTATCTATCTCTTACGGTTTGGCCGCTGAAACAGCACCACAGACAGACGGACGGACGGACGGACTTGTTTAATAAGAGATTTTTTGGACTAAAGATGATAAACTGTGGAGCTTGTGGAAGTTTTTGGCGCCGGGCAATGCTATTGTTTGCTAATAAAATAAAATATAATAAGGCCGGCCTCGCCATCCCGGAAAAGTCCAGTGTCAGCAAGGACTGGATATGCCCGAACTGCAAGAGAGCATACGCAGGGGTGACAACACGCATACGCCTAAAAAGGGTATCAGCGAATCTTCCGAGCCCGAAAAACCCGTTGCTGTACGGGAACCTGTCGACCTGGCCAGTGGCTCTCCAAAGAAAGTTGAGGTCCAGGGTAAGGCCAAGGAGAACGCCGCCAGAAATAATCACACCAGTGATATAAAAAGTATGCTGGCCGACTGCATGAATTAGACGAGGGAATTCCGCTCAGAGATGGCGGCCTTCCGCAGTTCTTTTACCGCTCGACTTGACTCCTTCGAGTAGAAAGTTGCGGTGTTGGAGCAGCGTCAAGTGAGTCCTGATGCAACTGGTAGGATGGACTTAGAGTGCACCATATGAGGTTAACGACCGCGATCAGGAGGCGATGATGTCCGACCTGGAGATTGGCGGCGCCCCGGACACCGCTGGTGAGGGCGGCCCGCCGGTCACCGCCGTGGGGGGTGGCGCTCGGGTCTACATCAACGAGCACCTCGCGCGCTAACCGCCAGCTTATATAACTTCACGCAGGCCCTGCCAGAATATCAGCGCTGGCGCGACACAATGTCGTATCACCTAACGCTGAGGCAGGATCCTGGTTAGCCCTTACTGTATGAGTTCCTTTTAACATGTTGTATTTTTTAAGGGTTTGAAAAAAATATTTTCTTGCTTTCTTTCTTTTAACAGCCCCCACTCTGACCGGCACAGCGATGCGGCGTTGAAAGCCATGCATAGTCTAACGTCGTTTCATTTCGGCAGACTTCGGCACGGTGTTTGTGTGCGTGCGACTAGAGGTATGCGAGTAGACTAGCTGCTACCTGCTCATAAAGGATCTCTTTTAGACATAATGCTAGGTGAGACAGCGTGCTTTTTGGCCGCATCCACGAGTGAGTCGGAGCCCGCGACTAGTTGAATCTTAACGTGCATGTATGTATATGGTACGACTGTATGAAGCTCGCATGTAAGATTATAAAAATATTTAAACAATATTAACTTTTCGTTTATTCAATAAAATAAAAAAAAATGTTTTCTTATCGGTCACCACGCTCAAAAAGTGTACCATGAATTAATATCAAAATAAATAAAAACTTGAAATAATATCAAAGAAAAACAAATTGCATAAATAAATAATTACATGCTATGCAATAGCTTTACCGCGGCAGTCCCCGAGTGCCACACGTATTTTTTTATATAATTGTTATTTGACGATTATTTTTTATGGATTGGTCCGACAAATGACTCCACCCCACCTGATGTTAAGTGAAGGTGAAGTCCAGTCGCGAAGATAGCTGACATAGTAGTTCTATTTGCCACACCAACCATCCTCACCCTGCCGGCCTGCATGTTGCTTCTTCACGCATCTTTTAAAGGATCCCAGGTTGTAAGAGGGAGGGAACACGTGAGTGGGCAGAGCATTCCATTTACGGATAGTGCGACATAGAAATGAGACACCAAATTTCTTTGTACGCGTTGGAATTGTAGCCATAGTTAGACGGTGACAACGTAAGCCAGCGCGCGTGGTCCACTGAAGGAAAGGAGAAGGTGGAATAAGAGAGAATAACTCCTCAGAACACTCCTCTCCTCAGGTCCAAAGCCTGATTGAATTAATGACAAGATTCTCCCGTTTTCCTTGGTTACCGCCTGCCCAGCTGCTGCCTTTCCGAGATACTCCGCATGCACTGTACTATCGTCTGCATAGCAATGAATATACCCAAGAGGAATGAAGTCATTGATATGCAGCAGAAAGACAGTGGGGGATATAGCCCTGGGGAACGCCGGCATTCACTGACATGAACCGCGATCTGCTACCATCTGTAAGGATACGAATTCTACGCTCATGCAGCAAGTCAACTACCCAAAAACAGAACTGGGCCAGCAGACTGTATGCAGGAAGCTTGTTGATCGTTAAACATAAAGGTTGTTTATGCGCAGTGGGTTAGATAAAGTTAATGTTGTGACCTAAACTTAACGCGAGCCGAGCGAACGAAGCAAGCGTGCTGTGGCAGTGGCTGTCGAAGCCCCATCCACCACAGATAACACTGACTGTGAAATTTCTGCGATATGATGGTTCTGATTTTTTATTAAAGTGCATATTAAAGTAATTTAAGATGATTCAGGCTTACAAAATTATGAGTTAAAAATGTCTGATAAATTAGTAAATGCTTAATTCTGCAAAATGATGTTGATGTCATTCGTTGATATGCATAATATGACATTAAGCTCTGTGAAAAAAGGTACACCCAGAAAACTTTTACTTTAAAAACTAAAAAACCAAATATTAACATATAACAAGTTTATATTTGGTTTTTATTGTTTTGCAGATCAAGATAAAAAAAATGTATACAGGAAAAACTAAAAAAAATACGATGGTCCATATTTTTCTAAGTTAATGATTTAATTTTATTAGAGTAACGGAAGTTCATAAATACTTGATGATTTAATTACGATTTGATTATTTAGTCATTAAAGAAAGAGAGACTATTATTTTTTTTGACAAATAATCGTGATGGGAAAAGGTAGAACGCAATTTTCAAGAGTGAAAAATATAGTGATAAAAATTCCATCAGCGAATAGCTATTTATGTCGTAACTATAATTTCTGTTTTAACTTTACTCGTATTAAGACAAACTAAAGAAAAAAATATTGAATGGGAACACAATTTTGGGGTTGACAAATTTTTCATCTGTGGCCTGACCTCTGAGATTTACATTCTGAAGAATGTACACATGTACATGTCCACAGGAATTGATTTATTTCATTGGTAAATCTTCTCTAATTCTCAAAATTATCTTTCGAATTTTACGATAGGTAGGTTGACGACAGTCGTGCACCGACCCGAGAGAAAAACCTGCCGACCAATCACAAGGCCTAATTTACGGGCGTCAGAGGGGTGCGGGGGGGGGGGATAGTCGCGTGATAAACCGCCAATCAGGCGCGCGGGGTGCGCGCATTTAAGTGGGAAACGTTTAATATTTAATGAGTGATGTGCGTGAAAACCTAAGAGACAAATAAGTCGTTTATTAACTTTAAAAAACAAAATTAATAAACCTTTCATAGCAGCCATTAATTTGTTTTGTTTATAATTTAAAACTTATTGAATTTGAAAAATAAGTTTTAGCCCATGTTCCTTTGGAAATATCCAATCTGATCTTTAGATTGCGTCAATAACTAACTCCTACTGATTACTGTTGATGTATTCATTTACATTCACTCATGCGTAACACTCACTCTAAGCCAATCAAACTTACCGTCATGGTACCGTAAGAAAGTATAAAGAGTCATAATATAAACAAGATCTAAAGTGGAAACTTGATTAATTGATAAGTGAAGTTGGTAAATTGGATATTTGGCAAATTCAGTAGGAAACCATTTGGGCTGGGCATATTAGCATTGTTTTTTTTAACAAATTCACATTCAACGATATTTATGGATACTTGGATTTATCATAAAACTGACACAAAATACTGTAACCACATACTATCACTATTCTGTTGAGTTCTGCAGCGAGTGGATTTTACTATTCTTTAGAGTTCTGCAATGAGAGTAACTTTAGTTTCACGAATTGGTGGAGGAATAGGGTCCATCAAGATTTCCTAATAAATTAGCTATCTTCTGAACTGGAGTTCATTCAAAATTAATATCAGTAGGGTAGTATAAAAAAACTCAAGCAGTTTTCATCACATTGATGTCATGTTGCACCAAAGTTCTAAAATCAAAAATCTTTTTATTTTATTTTGGTTCGCTGGCTTTGTTTATTTGCAGGCAGGTAATAACTAATTAATTATTAGTAAATCAATCACGTTTACCTCATTCTGTCTCTATTTGATTTTAATCAATTAGTAAGTTTGCTCGCTCACAGTTGTTCTGAGCGTTAAGAGTTTCAATGCTCAGAACAAGCAGCATCGTCTGCCATTAAGATAATGATAAACAAATAACTATGAAGAAGTTAACACTCACCATAAATACTAGTGAAGGGACCGGAGTCAACCTCCTGATATCGATCAACGATATCGCAAGAGGCAAATGTCCATTCCTGGCTCCGACGAAGAACAGTCGCGATGAAGCATAGATGGCGCCGTTGAGCGAGCCGAAGGTGCACATTGCTACGAACAGAGGCATAATCCACGACATGACTCCGAGGATTTTTTCGCTGAAGGTCACAGCCACGGCTTCTGACGAGTGGATTTCTCCATTAGTGAGGACCGCGAAGTAGGCTACATTCGTTAAGGCGTAGACTAATGTAACCACCGGCATTGAAATGCAAATCGCCCGTGGTAAATTCCTGGAAACAAGAAAAATTTGTCTGTGAGATGGTTGAATATTGGTACACGGGACATGCCCCACAGGCAAGCAAGCAGGACACGTGAACCAATATTTGAGAGAAGTGAAGTAAGCTAGAAACCATCTAACAATGTCGTAGAAAATTATTTTATTTTTAGGATTTTGTTTTATCCATTTGTAAATAGCAAAAAATAAAATTTTACTGGTCTAAATAGTTACAAAGAAATGCAAAAACGCTTACTTGTAAGGTTCTTTGAGTTCCTCCGTCACGAAATTGAGATAGTTCCAACCGGAGTATGAGAAGAGACCCGTGTAGAAGGCAATAGCAAGGTCACCAGGCGCGGTATTGGTACCCTCCATTATTGACTCCAGATTCTCCGTGTGCCCCGAGAATAAGTACCATAAGCTCGCGATGAAAGTTATAACGAACGCAAGGATCTTCGCCGCCGTAAACGAGTCCTGAACTCTAGTCACCCATTTCACGTTGTAACAGTTAATGACTGTCAAAAAACCTGTAATAAAAAATCGTCTTCATCAGCATCAGAATAAAGGAAAGAATTTAGAGATGTTCAATATTCTTTAGTTTTGATTAAAGTTAATGTTGTCTCTTTAATTGAAAAAGCAGTAGGATAAGAAGACAACACGTGACTGTAACAAGAATTAAAAATGGATTGTTATGTACGGCCCTACGCAAGACCTACAAAAAGTATTGGTATGTGGGCTCTTCCTGAAAGTGGTATTCGGGTGGAATCATTAAGTGCCCTTATACGGTGTGATAGCTAAGATAATTCTACACAAGAGTATGTGTCAGAGCGATGCGGGAGGAAGCCCTCATTATCCTGTCAGGAGCAATCAGCACACTCGGCCGCGCTACAATACTCCGCTCCGTGACCAGACATTTCCACGTCGTAGAAAACAGAATGATCCGTTCTTAACTTTACCTTTTTTACTATTGATTGATATTTAGTTTGGTATTATTCTTACAAAACTAAAAAAGTTTGCTTTTATAACACACTGTAAACCGTAAAAAATATATACTAGACACTTACCTTACGGCATTATTCTCTAAACTTAAAATTCAATTTAACATCAGTCTCTCCTTTTCATTCCGTATAGGGAATGACAAGGATACACTGTTGTCAAGTTTAGGTTTAGAGAATCGTGCTAGAATCGACACCAGTGTATAAACACGCGGATGATTATTTATATTTTAAAGGATAAAGTTTGATATTTACTTATAGTTAGAGACTTAGTTCCAAGTTTACTATGTTTATGGGATTTTTTATCTAAATAATGATAAAGTTTTAGTCCTTATCGATACTTATTACCATGAGTTTATCAAAGTAAAGATATGGGTCATGGCGAAATAGTTAATATTGTATGCAATGTATCTATATTATTATCAATTTTTTGAAAATTATTTTGACGACCTCCGTGGTCGAGTGGTTTGTACGCCGGGTTTCATGGTGTCGCCGACTCGAGAGGTCCCGGGTTCGAATCCCGGTGGGGGCAGATGTTTGTGTGATGAATACGAGCATTTGTACTCCAGTCATAGATGTTTAATATGTATTTCTATATAAACATACTTATATATGTACAGTATATGTATTATATCCGTTACCCTAGCATCCCATAACACAAGCCCTACAGTGCTTACTTTGGGGCTAGGCTAATTGGTGTGAGTGTAAAAAAAAATGAACTTAGAACTCAATCTATTCATTATTTATTGTTTTGTTTTAAATAACGGCAAATCCCATAAGTACTCCTTTTGGAAAGGAAAAAGTAAAACTTAAGTAGAAATTATGGGATATCCTGCATGTGCCATCGATCTGGTATAAGTGCTCATTGCATGTTACCAAAGATCAAGAGTTCGCGATCAATGGATTTTATCATAATGCTGCTGAGATGCTTCGAGATTTTACTTGTGTGTGAACATCGATAAACAAAAAAAAATGAAAATTTCTTTACATTTATAAATATATTTTTTTCTTATATGTCAACAAAATCTACCACAATGAATATAGGTACTAGCGTACCTAAAATCCTTAAAAAAGATAACCATAAACAGTTTCTGGTACACCATAATGACCTCTTTTTTGAAAAATATTAATATTGATAAAATAGGAAAATAAAACAGACTCGGCTTACTCTATGAAATAAAACGATGTGAAAAATTAAAACATGTACAGGCTTGGATTTCGTTTCGGTATTTGCCAAATATTTTAAGTTATACTATCGGGTTGGGTTGGATACAACTCGGATCAATGACCTGCCAAATTACCGGCTATTTTCTCCGAGAACCAACCACCACTGGCATGCGTATGGTCAGTAACGACAGTTTTTGAAAAATGCTTTTACAATATTAATAAAAGTTTTCATAAGAAAAATTGCTGTTACTAGGATTTTGTGTTGAGGACTTTTATAAATCAAGACAAAAAATTGTACTAATCTGTTGTTATTACACTTCCATTTAATTTCAATATTTTTTTCAGATGGGTTGCAGAAAGCTGCCTACTAATGCATTAGTGGTGATGACACTATCCTAGATTGATTTTAAATGTGAATGAATTTCTAAATCCAAAAATTTCATCACAATCGTTAGATCCGTTTCCGAGAAACCAATTACATACCAATATATTAATATAGGTACATACAATAATTGCTCGTTTATAGTATAGGATGTGTGTTAATTTTTTTCAAATAACATAGTTTATTTTTTCGTTGCCATTTAGCGTGTAAGGCAAAATTAAAATGTGGTCGTCAAAATTAAAACATAAAGTATTCCTACATTATCACATCTACATTAGGTAGGTAATATATGTAAGTATATTGTATTCGTCTATAAGTACAACACTTATTCAATTATAATATAATATAATTTATTCAATTGATTGACGGTATTAATAACAAAAAAAAAAACATTTTCATTTAACTCATAGTTGACCTTTGTGACAACCCTAGATCATGAAAGTTGACCTTTATCTAAATTCTGTCATAACTTCTTAAAACCGCAAAAGTGAAACTTGATTTTTTTATGGGTGATAGAACTTGGCTTATAGAACCTTTCTGTACTAAAACCAGGTTCCACTTTTGCCGATTTTCGGAGAAAAAAATTAAAAATCGAAATTTAAAAAAACTATATTTCTTGGAAACTAGGACACTTATAAATAAAATAAAATTACAAAATTATGCCATCAATAATTCCTTAGCAAGTGGCAAATATCTCATGGACAGATATGGAACCGTCTTTTGAGGAAATTAAATTGTTAATTTTTTCATGCGCAAATTTCAAAAACTGTGCTACTTCATATCTTTTTTTTTACTTAAAATAGTGATCTGGGAATTGAACTCTTGCCTTTATTAAGGGTTTAAATAATTGATTTATGCAAAAACCTTAAGGTGTAAATATTTTTGGTTCTATAAAACACAGTGTAATGTTATAATTAAATATAATTAGACAACTTTAAATATACTGATTACGATTGGCTAAATGAGTTTCTTTAAATCCTAAACTGGAAGGATCTTTGAAGAAAGAAAATTTATTAATCGTTTATTTCCTACTTTTTATTTTTTTAAGGTTATATAATACAATCGGAAAATACAGTTTTTTTTATATGTAAGAAAATATTGACGTCGATTTGTTTCAATTTCATTACTCTCGCACATCTACTTTCTCTACTCGGCTTGTTTTATATTATTTTTACTCTTTTTCTTATAATAAGTGTGAGTGATCTCAAATACTTCCATTATTTGTGAAGAATTCATTGTTTGTATCTATGAATTCCTTAACGACTTCTACGCTCCCTAACTAATTCCTCTACAATAGGGATGATGACTTTTTTCTTCGTCTATTAGGTAAATTATCACTTAGTATCAGATGCTTATTTTTTCTTTATTAACATAATCAAAACATTACAGAGAAATGTTAATTTGAAATATCTCGTCACGAGTTCCACTCCCAAACTTTAACGCGCACAAAGATAAACTAAGTAATTTTTTGGCTGATTGACAAAAGAAAAAATAAGTGTTCATTATTTTTTGATAAATCTAACTGACGGACTAAATGGAATTTCGTTTACCCCACATCACCCCCATTCCTCTAAAGCTTTAAGTACTGCGTTTACGTCGTTAATATATAAAACCCCTGCAATTATATTACTATATTTTTATTTTTAGGATTCCTTATAGGATCTTTTTGTTGTCCGTCTGTCTGTCTGTAAAGACCATTGATCTTAGAAACGCGTGGAGGTATCGTGTTCCAATTTAAACCATATACTCAAGTCTAACGTCCCTACAGATGTGAAAAAATCAATCTTGTATTTTTTTAAGGTTATTTACGTAAAATAAGTATTATCATAATTATCTTGAGATGAAAAAGAACCCTAAAATGTTACAACGCAGTAACTTAAAAACATTACATTTCATAAATACAAACTTCATTATTTTGAATGAAGCTTTACCTTTTGAGTACCAGCTTTCTGGGAACCTTATTCAAAAAGTAAATGATTTATAATTTGCCGAAACGAAAACCTGTTCGTTCATGTGTCCCTCTCTACAGGGGGTAAAAAATGACAATTCGCCCTTTCCAGTAGTCGATAAACAAGTTCAACAACCCAAGCTTTAATATTATTAACAATAGAACTCAAGTTTGCACAACTCATTATTGATTTTCGGTGAATACTGGTTGAGTTATTTATTATGCAAAAAAGGAGTTATTGCGCTGCGCTACACGCACGAACAATCAAGATACCATGGAAGCTATGGTTTGGTCGTCTGACCAAACCCTAGCTTCCATGGTATCTTGGTATGTACTTTAAAAATTAGCGAATTATACGTTACTTTATACATTTTCTCTCTTTCATATTACAACATTAACTTGTATGAACCTCCCTCATTTTCTTTCGGTAAAGATTTCCGTTAGTTATGGTTATAAATGTTAGTCAGTTGATTTTAGCAAGTTCTACTACTGCGCAGTTCTTTATGACTAGATTAGATGACTGCATCTAAATGTAACTTATGTCAAATTTCCCTACAGTTTATGGTTTTTGTCTTGATTGGTTTGCTAAGTGAAAGTTCATGTAATGTTATCGATTTGTCAACATCTTACTCACTTTCTAATTAATAACGCAGTTTCTAAATTGTTACTCAAGTATCATAATGACGAAGACGGCAATATGTATGTAAGCAAAGATTTCAATCGTAAGTAATCTCGTGGAATTCAATATCGCATTGTTAGTTACATGGTATTCATACGGTATGCTGCGTTGAATATTTTTATGAGCAATGAAAATTCTTTTATTATTTATTTTACAATAAAATATACTATCTGCAATATCTGTTGTTGATTTATGGTATGTTTTGATAAGTGGAGACTGATATTAGTTAAGATCTAAACAACGGGGATCTGGTGATCTGTAACACGGGTTTGTGAACCTACACGGGCACCAGTCTCCCACGTATATGAGGTGAATTATAATTACATAACATGTAATTATAATTCACCTAATATTTGTAAAACCTTAATGTTATTTGTGATGAGAAAAAAAAATTTATGTCAGTGCAAGAGTGTAATCTCGAACGTCTCCATGCTTTGGAAAGCTCCTTAACGTGCTTTGCTAGTGGATATAGTTCAGTTAGTACAAACAAAAGACCTAACAGTCTATACCTTTTTATTGACAATAATAGTTCGAGTAGTTAGGTAGGTACTAGAAGATTTGGGCTATTTCATAAAGAGTTTCGGTGGTCTTGTTACGAAGACTTGAAGCAGCTGCAGTCGTTAGCACCTATGAACTAAACCCGCGTGGTAGGTTGTCGGCCATTCGCCAAGTGGTTGCATCTGTAGAAAATACCTGACGCCTTAATCAAGCAGCCAACTTTTCTATTCTAGCGACGCTAACGTTAAATTTTTAAGTTAAAAATTGAGTAATAAGCTTTATAATTGTGTTTCGCATAAATGCGATCTTGTCGATTACGTACAATAAAGTTTTGATAAACATAAGCTTTCGTTGTTTATAGCTTACTTTTAAAACGAATAGAAAGTAGACCGCTTGTCTAGGCTCTCGAAGCTGTTCTCTAGTAGTAGGGACGATATAAAGCTATTATAAAAATACATATAACACTCCCTCATTTATAAATGAAGACAAGCTGCTAAAGCTGTGTTTAGTTCACGTCATCTTAAATTATAGGTATTTTGCAATTTAATGAACAGAGCCAAAAACTTCTTGTCGTTGTTTAATAATATGACAAGTAAGTAAATGGGTCCTACGGTTTTGTAACTTAAATTATCAAGCTCTAGTGAAAGATAAGCTTAAGACTTCTTGAGTAATCAACAAAAATATCTCGGTAACTAAAGCTCTAAAAAGCTCCATTTTTATTATTGGAATTGGTCGTTTACGTTTTTTGTTTATCATTAGACAATCGATGTAGGATGATCAGGCGAACATAAAAAGTAAAAATAAAGAAGTATACTGACACGTAATTATAGCCGCTATGAGGGTGTTGGCGGCGCGAGGAGGCGTGCAGTCTGGCCACAGGGGTTGTAAGATGTTTTGCGCGAAGGTTAGAGCTGTGATGGCGTTCCCCGTTGGCACCAACACGAACAGCGCCACCCACAGGTACAAGAACGACAGGAGAGGTCCGAACGCCTCTCCGATGTACGCGTAGTCACCACCTGACTTCGGGATCATTGTACCTAAAAATGAGACCAATTAAAATTTTGTTACAGTTGAAATACAAGTTTGTTACAGTTGATACACAGGTGTATGCCATTAAGGAGAGTTATGGCATAACATATCTTCTGGAGAAGTAACCTCTTCTTACAGAAAACCACAGTGACCTTAGAGTGCTGTTGTATTAGAGGTAATAAATAGACCAGTGATTGAACTTAATCATAACCAGAGAAAAAAATCTAGCGCCATAACACTCAAAGTGCTAACGAGGCATGGAGCATACTTGTCTAGAAGACGCCTATTCACTCAAGTATTGAAAATATCTAAATGGTCTTCTTGTAAAGTTTATATTATGAAGCCGTCGTACGTTTCTGGTTGACAATCTTGTTCTTGGGCACTATCTTTTAATCTAAGAGGATTATTAGAACATCGAAGATGAAGTTCACCATAAGATCAAATAAACTACGAATAACTAAGTACATTTATTCGTGGTATTGTTCCATCAGTGAGAATTGGGACAATGTACTAATGGTATACTTGGGTACCTACCTACATTTTGTTATCTATGAAGATAGCATATTTTCATTAATATATATGTTAGCTTCATCAAAGAGAACGTCTCATGACTTCTGAACTCTTGAACAACATAATTTACACATGCTTTATCTTTATTTTTTACTAAGTACTATCGTAGTAAACGTAGTACTTTCAACTGTTATACAACAATATTTTTATTTGCTTTTTGGAACAAAGTATTAAAAACATTTAAGTAGGTTTACAATATATTATTTGTGGTATGATAACCTTATCAATTTTCACGACCTGCGGTGACAGATTAGTTTAAGCTTATTTACAGTATTTTTATAGAAATGGTATAAAAACAATGCATTTCTTTAATTCAACCATGCTATTTTCGAATTAGATTCGACAATGAGTTCGGCGATGAGATAGCCTAAAATGGACATTGTGTTACAAGAGGGTTACAAGTGGGTATGGTTTTACCTTCATTGTTGTCAAGTCTTGTCGTTGAGAGAAGTAAGGTGTAACATAAATCTATTGAAATAAATGTACCTATTTCTTGAAAAATGAATACCGTTGTCGTCGTGGATGTTCCCAGAAAAAAACATAGTAGGACAGAGTGTAGAATAGAGCATCCAGTAGGTAAAAAAAAATTAATCGAGATTAGAAATGCAAATTTCACCGTATTAAAACAAACCGGGATAGCGAGGGAAACCCCCGCCTGCTACAGATGGTCATATGTTGGTCGGGCGGGCGGGCGGAAATGTACACTCTTGGTATCCTGAGTTAACTTGCAGTCTCTTGACCTCAGCTTTTCTATTTCGGAAAGATGAACTTAATAATAAGCTCCAGGTCAGATGCTACGACACAAGAACATGAATTCTGTCGAGATGGCTTATAAATGATAAACTAGAGAGACAAGAGATAATTATCTGGAGACTATTAGCTAAGCATTCCATCAACGAACGTAGATGCTGAGAGAGTATTTTCGGCAGCTGGATAAATTTTGATAAAAGTAAAAGTTCTATAAATGCTGATGCAATTGTAATTTTATGCTTTTACGTAAACATTTTCAAATCAAAAATAAATATAAGTTTAGTGTGTGATTAATTATAACTTAAGGCAGTTTTATTTTAACACTCATTAAACGATTCACTAATTTCGAAATATCGCAAATTTTGCGGTATTCAATATTACTCCGGTATTGGATCCTCTACCTACAACCCACAACAATGTAAAAATAAGCTCGATTCGGAATATTGTACTGGTTATCTAGACTGAATTAGTTTGAAATTGAAATTATTGTCAAACCGGGGTTGGTTCTACTATTTCCGCGAAAAATGACGATGGTCAGATAGGTACCTATTATTAAATTTATTTAAATGCATGGCCAGTAATGAAAACAGTCTTTTATTTTCTGAAACACTGGATATAGCTTCTAGTAGAAGTATTCATATATTTAGGTCAAGTTTATGTGTGTAACTACACTTAATGAATCGTTGATAAGAAATTATTCTTTCATTTCTTTCTGAGTTCAAAATGTCATGAGTTTATTAGAATATAATTGTACATTATCATTATGACACATAATTTAAAATAGTGATTACGAACTATAATGATAACCTCCACGTCCAAGAGTAATGTTTAAAATACTAACTAGATAACTTTCTTTTCTATGCCAAGTGTCGTGTAGTATTCTAGTATGTAGGTACGAGTATATCTACTTTTTGTCTATGTTTTTTTATTGCGCTGCTAATTTAGAAATATTATACTTTTCAGCATAAACTCATAAGTATGTAAGGAAAACTTAAAAATAAAAAAAACGGCCAAGTGCGAGTCGGACTCTTACTTGGCCGGTCTTTTAATATTTAAACTTTAAAATTTTCAAAAATATTTTTTATTATAAGATGTAACTAATAATTTACGGTTTTCGCAATTATTCCTTTATCGGTACTATAAGACGTTACTTCGTATTAAATTTCAAGATTCTAAGTTCACGGGAAATACCCTGTAGGTTTGGATTCCCGTGCGTGTTTCGAAAATTTGCGGAAATTTGCTGCATAAACGGCAGTATCTTTTGATTGCTTTGGCTTAGAAGTTTGATTTTTTCATAACTTCAAAGGACAGTAGGCATGAGTATTAGATATGAATTTCAGTTTGATACCTCCACGCGTTCCTGAGAAAAACGGTCTTGATGGACAACAAAGTGATCCTATAAGGGTTCTATTTTTTCCTTTTGAGGTACGGAACCCTAAAAATCCACTTATACTAAAGTTCGTGAGAGGAGATAAAAAGAAGGAAAGGGTAGAAGAGACAATAAGGAAGAAATACTGAGAAAGAACGGAAGGGACTCGAAAAGGAAGGAAGGCTTATTCAAGCCTTATACGAGAAACGCACGAGGAATCCGCACGTGCCACATATAGTCCTTAGAGTAGCTCCAGCAGTATGGCGGCAGTTGACAGATGCGGGGTCTCTTCAACTACAATGGTTATTGTCCCGCGCGGAAGATCAAACCCCGCTTATCCAGTGCTCTCGCTGCCTGGGCTACGGCCATATCAAGCGGGTCTGCCAGGAGGCACTGAACATCTGCTGCCACTGTGGGCGATACGCCACGTGTCCAAATAACTCCCTTCCCCCAAGCTGCTGCCAAACGCCAACTGCAAGAAAGCAGGAAACAAAGAGATGGAGCACAACGCTTTCAACGATATGTGCCCACAACGCATAATATGGGACAAAATAGCCCGTTCACGCGTTGCGTATTGCTGAAGTAGTCACAGGCGCGCCAAATGGAAAAGAGAGAGAAATGGCAAAAACACAGAAACACAATGCAGGCAAATCTGAATAAAAACCGGAAGAAGTAAAAATGCCACTTATGAATTGTATTTAGAAGCAGGGAAAAGGAAAGCAATGTTTGCACTCTTCCAAGAGCCATACCCGGGCAACTCGGGAGCAGTTGGAAATCACTCTGGTGTCAGAATAGTCCAAGCGGCGAAACAGGTTGGGAAAGTAAACAAGGCGCAGTAGTCGTATTTAACAACATCATTAAAATAAAACAGTATTCCGACCTCACAACATAGTGCCTGCAATATTAATAACACCAGAGTGGCAAATCAGAGTGATGTCCTACTACTTCGAGCCGGACGTAGATATAGACCCTCATGGCACTAATAGAAAAAATAATTAACAAAATAGAAAAAAACAACTTAATAATTGGGGGAGATGCGAATGCCTGAAATGAATGGTGGGGGAGCAAGAAAAGAAGGAAAAAAGTAATGGGAATGTGAAAGGACTTGGGGCTGCATATACTAAATATAAGGAACAAGAACAAATAGTATAGAAATGCTAGAAGAACATATAGGAAAATATAACGAAATAATAGAGGACTGTTGTTAAAATAATGTAAGGTATCTGCAATCGGCAGAACAAGAACTCAAGCAGAAGATCTGCCTATTGCGAGGGCGGACATCAAGTCCAAGATCAAGCTGCCCAAGTCCTATAGGCGAATAGGTTTGCTGCCAGTACTGGATAAAAGTTTAGAGATGTTAGTAAGCAGAATAAAATGGTATAAACTTCCTCGGTTAAATCCTAAGACATGATCTAGCGAATCAGGATTCAGGAGTGGCCTTTCTGAAACAAAGATCATTGCCCTGATATCGCTGGACACAGATCCATTGCCAACTAAAAGATAGAAATTGATCAGTAAATCTGCAAAAACTTGTAGCGAGTTATTTGCGAGATAGGTCGGTGACGGTGAAGTATGTAGGGGAAGAGATAACTAAAAAGATGAATAAAGGATGTGTACAAAAGTGCATTGGAGGACCCCTATTTTGGAATTTAATATTAGATACCCTGTTAAACGAACTCACCGACACCGATGCCTACACACAAGCCTACCTACTATCTTCGCAGATGACATAGTCCTAATCGTGGAAGGAAAAAGCTCCCGTGAAATAGAAAATAAAGCCAATACCGCACTCGCCCTGGTCAACATATCGGGGGCATCAAACAAATTAATTTTTGCTGCACAAAGACCAAGGCAATGATAATAATCACAAAAAAATAGAACAGGTGGAGGAAATTAAAATGCTTCTTTATCTACAATAACAAAGGCCTAACATTTAATAGCCACATCAGTTACATTTGCAAAAAAGCAATCAATATTTATAAAGAGGTGGCAAGAGCGGCATAAACGACCGGGGCCTTAATCCTGAAATAACTATGATAATTTACATAGCGGTTATCGAACCCATTATATTGTATGCGACTAGCGTGTGGGCGAAAGAAGTCCACAAAAGAGAGGGTGGACCAACAGGCGAAGGAGGCGGCTCTCGGGTTAAGGAGGCGGCTCTCGGGTTAAAGAGTAGATCGCACTATGACGGATGCCCCATCTCTTTTGTCAAGTGACATTAACACGCCGAGTGAAAAGTATGTAGAATGGGGCAGACGATATAGGAGCGAAAGCACGGCGGCCACAACAAGGCCATCTTGCCCTAGTGTGGAAAAT